CCAAATTTATGACAATTATAACATTCAATTTTTGATTTGTCATACCTTTGTCTATTATTTTCTTGGTAGTATCCACGTCCTCTTCCTCCTCTTTATCCACGACCACGACCTCTGAATGTTTGGTGGATTTTAACTTCATTGTTGAAGTTGTTACCATTACTTATTCCTCTTCCATGACCTCCTCGACTTCGTCCTCGGCCTCATCCTCATCCGTTTCCTCGATAGCTTGTTTCACCTCCATAATCCTTGAAGGATGCCTGAGTTTTAAGAAGTTGCTCCAATGACACTTCTTGTCTCCTTTTGATCTTTTCTTCGTGGGCCTGTAAAGAACCTTCCAATTGCTCCACCATCATAGAGTCTAAATCTTTAGACTCCTCAATAGTACACACCACAAAATCAAATTTAGGTGTTAAAGTGCGAAGGATCTTTTCTACCACACGGACATCTTCTATGTCCTCCGTATCTTCTTAGTTGATTTACAATAACCTTCACTTTTGAAAAATAATCCGAGATGCATTCGGATTCTTTCATTTTTAAAACTTCAAAATCAGCCCTTAGAGTTTGAAGTTTTACCTTTTTCACCTTGTCAACTCCTTGAAGAGAATTTTGTAAAATCTCCCAAGCTTCCTTTGAGGTGGTAACATCTGCCACCTTCTCAAACATGGCATCATCCAAACATTGGTGGATGAGCGTGAGGGCTTGTTGATCCTTCTTCCTTGTCTTTGCCTAGACCTCTTTTTCATTTTGGGGTAGAGCTTCCTCATTATCGGGTTTTGCATACCCTCTGTCTACGATTTCCCATACATCCGAGAGCCAAGGATGACTTTCACACGTAGACACCATTTCTCATAATTATTTTTTGTTAGACGGGGGTACTGAAAAGATAGCGGACCATTATTTGTCATGACTCTGATACCACATTGTTGGGATAAAATAAATAATCCCGCTCAGGAATAATATCCATAGCAAATAATAATAACACGAGAGAGTAACAATGACACCAAATATTATCGCGGGGTAAAATACAATACCCGAGTGGAGCAATATTATCACTATAATATTGCAACTTAGTAGTGTCAAGAAACTACTACAACTTTGAAAGAAATAACACTCTTTATTTAACACACTTCACTACAATATTACTACCGCTCACTAATTATCTCACAGACAATAATCTGTGGATTACTCTCACTAACTATATGTTGCTTCTCTCTTTATTTTGGTGTGTCTTCAATGAGGAACGGATAACTCCTTTTATAGGCACAATTTTTACCTACCCAACCAATCTGATTGGTTCAATAATTTGTAAAGTCCAGCCGCCCAAACTTTTGCAAATTTTCCGGCTGCCTATTTTGTCTTCTCCACATTTTTCTTTATTTAGTAGGTGAGGTATGGACCCCACAGTGTCAATGCCGTCTACGGACGTTAACTGTGGCTATAAATTCAGGTGCATGTCTTTTTTTGAATCTAATCGGACTTTGGATTTTTGGTGACTTTAGTTAGTCGGATAATTTCCAGCGACTCCGTTTGTTTCAGCCACTGTCCTATGGCAGGTGCTTTGAATGGTCCATATAATTTCAAGAAAACTCATTTTCAAATCTTGTTCGTCAGTTGAAATCCAGGTGCTTTGAATGGCCGACGGACTTAGCTTTCTTTCTTTCTTTCTTTCTTAATGTTGTTATCCAGCAAGATTGGGGGTGGGGCAGGGTGCTGTATGAAAAAAACGAGGGGTGAGGGTATTTTTTTAAATCCATGTGACTTTTTTAATTAGGGGATATATGGTTTTAGATTTTTAAAATGCAAAATGTTAGATGGGGGATATATACGAGCCCATTTGTTAACGGTAAGGGCAGAATAGAGACCGACTTTTAATGAAGGGTTAGCCTATCCTATTTTACATAGTAAAGGGGCATTTTAGGCCCTTTTCCGTTCTCTAAATGAGAGGATAAGTAGAAGCTAAACATGAAGGATATGAATCTCAAGTTATACAAATTGCATACCATAAAGCTACTAGAACAAAAGAGTGAGATGTTTTATTAACATTTAGCATCCCGCCAAATCTAATGGAGGATAAATCATGGAATTGCTTCTTTAAAGACAAACAATCCCAAATGCAATAGTACTTCACACATTTTAACTTAAAAATCCTTTTGGGTTAAATAGAGGGAGATATTTTCTTGGTGGAAATGACACCAGGTAGCCAGTTTTAAATATGATGTTTAAAATTTATCCATATTATATAATGCATTTAAAGATTAGTCTTCGCTCAAACTTCGTTCAAAAATATCGTGTTCTAAAGTTCGAATATTGTGTCCAGAAATTAAAATTTTATGTCTCGAATTTTAAATTTGCAATTCAAAAATTCAAAATATTTAGTCCTCAATTTCAAACTAACAGTTCAGAAATTCAGGACACATAGTCTTCAATTTCAAATTAATAGCTAAAAAATTCAGGATACTAAGTCCAGAATTCCAAAGCAGCTCAAAAAATTAGGATACTTAGTCTTGAAGTTTGGATGAATTGGGTAACTTTAAATAAATTATAAATTATTCCCTCCAGTTCACAATAAGTGACCAATTTGCTTTTAGCACGCCCATTAAGAAAAATACTAAATTCTATACAAAAATACATACTATGACTAACCCCTAATTAAACATTTAATGTGAGGAGTAAGAAAATGTTTTAGGGATATGTACATAGGGGTTATTTTGTAAAAGCAAATTGAATTCTTTCTTGATTACATAACTGGACACTTATTTTGAACCAAAATAAAAAAGCAAATTGGTCACTTATTGTGAACCGGAGGGAGTATTGATATATTTTAAATAATATACTTAAAAGTGACTACTAGTGCACTTCGCCCATATTTCTTAAAGGTTGGATACTCAAAAGAACAACGTTTAATTTATGGGTATTATCACTTTTAGCCCGCGCCAGAAACTATTTACATATGCTAGCCGAAAAAATGTATAAAATTTGTATAATTGTTGTATATAACATACAGAATGTGTATATATATACAAATTTTATATATTATTTTAGCCTATTATTTTTACGATGGTTATACAATGACATTTTTCCTTAACTTATTACTATTATGCAGTCCACTTAGACATGAAAGTATTGTCATATTTGCCCAATGGAAAGCCCATTTTTTTGGCTATTCCCAACTATAACACAAAACAAAAAGGAAATAAAGTTTTGAAGAATTAACCCAAATAGTCACCTACCTAACCGCTTAAATTAAAAATAATCGATGGAGGTATAATATATGCATAATTTATATATTATATATGTATAATTGTGTATAATCAATATATAATCTATGTATATGGCTAGAAAAAATAAATAATAAATATGACCGGCTATTTATGTAAAGATCCCTAAAGTTATTTTGCCCCGAATACACAAGGAAGCACCTTTGGGTTGGGACCATGGATCCAGAATTTATATTTGGAGTCCGGAACCAAAATGTGGTTCTTTTGGACTCAAAGAACAAAAATATGTGGGAAAAAAATATAGTGACCAAAATACATATAGCGTCGCTATACTTTAACGGTCGTTTGGCCATTTAAGTGTAGTGCCTTTTAAAAAGACACTGCATTTGAATTAAATAAAGCCGGAAACTATAGCGTCTTTTGTTAGGACACTATTTATATATAACGTCTTAACAAAAAACGCTATACATATAATATAGATCGCCTCCTTCCTTCCCCCAAAACAGAATCGTAACCCCTCCCCTCCCCCATTTTAAAATCCAGCGGTCTTGCCCTCCATTTTTAATCAAAAGAAAAACTTAAGTGGAACCCACCCGTCCCACAAAAAGTAAAGATTCTCGGTCCACGTGCTAGCTAAGGCGTTATCTTGGACATTATTGGTTGTTTCGGTTCCAAATCACAAAATCTTTTGTCACGACCCAATTTAGGATCATGACCGGCTCCTAGGAGCAAGTGCCTCCAAGTAAGCCTCATCGGTATTTTACAGAAAATTGGACAAAGTTTTCCCTATTTTAGGACTATCCAAAAATAATTTCCTGTCTCAAAATCAACAACCAACCATCCTAATATCAAACCAACCAACCAACCAACCAACCAACAACTTATCAATTAACCAAAACAAGTCTCCACCATTAATAATCAACCCACTAACAACCAGACTCCTAATTTATCTCCAAATTTGATAAGAAAGTGCAATACTCATCATAAGTCTATAATAACGAAGAAAACTCTCAACACTAAAAGAATGACTATGGAGCGATTCTAAGAGTTTCAAGAAAAGACCATAAAAATAAATAAAATCTCCGCTCACGCGAACAAGTGCGAGGCCTACCAATGACTATCAACCTGTGCGTTCTAATTAACGAAATCCTCGCCTACGTCAATTGTTGTCTGTGTAAAAAAAAATAGCGGGGAGTGAGTCGCTAGCTCAGCGAGTAATAACACTTAACCACAACCGTTTTTAACGGGGACAAGTCAGAAAACATGCTAGTATATTAATCAAAAAAATATCATAAGAATGCCCTTTCTAAAACAATAAATATAATTAGTCTATTCATGTGTTTCTTGTAACATAAATCAATTTAACAAATCGGTAATAAACTCGGTAAACACTGTCTCATAGCAAATCTTTATGTTTAGGAGGTTTCCAAGAAAGGATCATGTAATCTGTATCACTATGTGGACCCTTTCGTAAAAGGAGTCAAATATAACTGTAGGTCCCTACTCGAGGGAATAACTGTAACTGTGCTAGTTCTACCTTTTCACTAGCGAGAGTTATAACTGTACTCGGTAATCGGTAAATAAAAGGTGCACCAGGTCTAACGAACCCGCCGTTAGCTACGGGATCCTTCAAAGTTTCCTCCCATTTATACTTTTATTTGTAATAATAAATATTCACATGAAAGCATTTTCAAAATAGCACAGGGCATTTCAATTCTTATCAAATCATGTAATCCGATTTCGGTAACGGTAATCATATCTCAAATACCAGTAAAACATGTCTAGTAACATGAGAACATTTTAAATAACTGTAAACCTCTCAAGTAAACTATCCAGTACTATATCAAGTAAAGGACTTGTCCCACATGCAATTTCAAACATTCACTAACACATTTATTTTTCAAAATCATGTATAAACCATGAAGGTTATGAAAATACAAATTGCAGTAAGATTACTACTCACAGTCTCGTGCCGAATTACCAAATACTTCACCTCGAGCAAACGTACAACTTCCTCCAATGAATCTATAATCACATAATATTGATCTCGTGTCAATTGCCTTATTTAGGCTAATTCATCACTGATTTAGAATACCCAATCCTTCGAGTTTTATGTTTTATCATTATATTTACCCATGCTATGAGTAATTTAAAGTTTTCCAAAATCTTCTATTAAAAAAATATTTATATAGTTTATTCCTTGTACTATTCAATTTTCGTAGTCATGCGTATAAGTTGAAACTTAAATAGAAGTGTTGTCCATAATGTGTTTTTTTTGTATTTAGTTTTCAATAGCCGATAAATCCTATAAATACATAAATCGGGATTTAAAGAAATCCACCAGAAAACTGAAGAGGAATCAAAGAAAGAGGAAAATTAACCTTTTTGTGCCGAAGAATTGTTTCGCTTGGAGCTGCAATATAGGTTCAATTCTCCTTCTTTTTTGATTGTAAATATTAATATCAAAATCTTATCTTTTGCACTTTTGCTTGTCAAAGTTGTTCCAACAACTACTCTTTTTTCGTCTTCTCTGTTGTTCCTCCTCTGCATTTTTTGCCACTGTTACAGCTTCTGTTTTAGCCGCAACAAGGTTGCGTTTCCTTGTTCCCCTCAAAATCTTATATTTTTTTCTTTTAAAATCCTACAAGGCTAAGGACTCAAATCTCCTTTTTGGTTTTAGTTACGCCACTTATGTTGTCTATAAGGTAACTAGCTCTTTTTTTTGTTTTATTTTTTTTATCTTTTTCCTTTAATTAGTTTGTTCTCTCTTTTTGTTGGCAAATTACTTAACTATCCTTATTATTTTTTTTATGGGAGGTATTACATTCTTCCTACCTTATGAAATTCGGTCCCCACATTTAACTCAACTATGTACCTGTAGATTGAAATAAATGAGGATATTTGACTCACATAGCATTTTTCACTTTCCGTGTAGTTTATTCAACGGTATGATTTCTCCACTAAGATTTTAGTGAACACAATTTCTTGTGACTATAGCTTTCTTATGTGTCAATCAATAATAGCCATAGGCTCCTCCTTATAAGACAACTTCTCATCAACCGATATAGTTAGTGTCTCAAGCACTTGAGAGGAGTCTGATATACATTTTATAAGCATAGAGGCATGAAACACTTGATAAATAAAAGATAACTCAGGAGGAAGGGCCAAACGATATGTCACAGCTCCTACAGGTTCAAGTATCTATACGGTCTTACAAATCTGGGACTTAATTCACCTTTCATGGGAGAGATACATGGGAAAACTCGATCTCTAACTAAAAACTCTAAGTCCTTTTTCCCTTTATCAGCATAAGATTTTGTCTACTTTGAGTTGCGAAAAATCTCTGCCTAATGAACTCGACCTTGTCAATAGTTTCTTATACCAGATCAGGTCCCAATAAGTTAGTCTTATCAGCTTCAAACTATCTGATAGGAGAACAACATCTCCTACTATACAAGCTTCGTATGGTGTCATCTGTATGATTGACGGAAAGTTATTATTATAGGCAAATTCAACTAAAGATAGATAGGCATCCCAACTACCTCCAAACTCCAGAATACAATTTTTCAAGATATCCTCCAAGATCTGTATAATACATTCAGATTGTCCGTTTGTCTGTAAATAAAAGTCGATACTAAGATCTACTTGTGTAACCAACGCAGCTTGAAAAGATTTTCTATCATAGATGTAATCCTCTATCATAGATGATAGACAATAGAACCCTATTGAGTCGGAATATTTTCTGTCCATGTATATCTATGCATATTTTTCCTCAATGTAAGGAGTTTTGACTAGAAAGAAATGTGCCTGCTTTGTAAGACAATTTACAATTTTCCCACACATAATCATGCCTCTAATGGTTTGGGTAATTCGTTCATATAAGATATTGTAATTCTATTATATTTTCACTTCAGAATCTTGAGTTATTGTAGTGGGCCTACGAGTAGCAAGTGTTTGCGTTAACATGCTGACTATCAAATAGTTAGAAACAAAGTTAACGAATTATTTCTTCTTTCTTTTCCAACCAATCCAATTTTCTTCTAGTCATGATGCATCTTATGGACCTGAAATATATAGTGTATCTAGAGTTATGAGCTTTATCACGTATAGCCTATCTCAACCCATATATGTTTGCTGCTATTAATTGATTACCTAGTCGAAGAATACCATCATTATTAAAAGTCATATCCTTGCACCAGTTAGGGCCTAGTCTCGTGTACTTAGAGCAATCGCTCATCCTCGTATTGAGTAGCCTTATAAGTGCACAAATAATAAAAACTTGGATTGAATATCAGCCAATAATGCCTCTGAAGTTTTCATAATAAATATAATACTTGCACCTTCTAGTCTGTGTATTTTTTTTCAAAAGTCTCTTTGCCGGAGTTATATATATATCAAACTACCCATAAATATTTTACTCAACGCATCAGCCAAACAAATATCTTTCGAGGATGATAGAGAATAGTACAATTATAGTCCTTGAATAGTTCCAATCACCACCTTTACCAAATATTCAAATATCTCTGAAATCTAGTGGTAATGCTTACATTGGTGTGTCGATCAAATATGTCTTGAGCTTATGAAAGCATCTATACACTTTTCTTCGCCTATTGAAACTTCGGGTTCTTCTATGTTAGCTTGGTTAGAGAAGTTTTTTTTAATCATGCACCAAACTCCTAAAATAGCCTACCTAACCCAGGAAGTTACGATGCTCTATAGGAATAGTGGTCTTGGATATTGCTGAAATGCTTGTCTCCTTAGGATCCATCATAATCTCATTTCTTGATACAACATGCTTGAGGAATGCTACAAAGTCTAGCAAAAATTATTTTTGAGAACTTAACAATATGTCAATTTCTGTGGTTGCAACACAATTCTCAAATGATCCTCATATTCTTCTTAGGTATTAGAACATACTAAAATATTATCTATAAATACATCGATATGTCTGTCCAGAAACAACTTGAACACCCTGTTCATTAAGTTCATGAGTGCGGTTGGAAAATTTGTCAGTCTGAAGCATCGTAAGAATGCATAATACAGTGGCGAGTCCTAAAGGTTTTCTTAGGAATATCTTCCTTTCCGTTTTTGAGTTGATAATAACCAGAAGCAAGGAGCAATCTTACAAAGCGAGCATCTCAATATAACTAATTAAACAGGTCTTCTATATGAAATTATGGGTATTCATTATGTATTATTATCTTATTTGGTACTTGCAGCCAATGCACATTGTATGGAGTCATTTTTTTCTTCTTCTATACAAACAATATCAATGCACCCATCAGTAATAAACTCGATTTAAAAAAAACTCTTATCTAATAAATCTAGTAACTGTTCTTTTACCTCTAGCAATTCTACTAGTGCCACACTATATGGGGGTATCACTATGGGCTGCATGTCAGGTACTAAATCAATACCGAAATCTATTCCTTGTATTGGCGATAGTCTTGGTAAATTCTCAAGGAAATATATTAGAGGATTCTCACCATGAGTACTTTTTCAAACTAAGTGTTTACTCTCTTGTGTCCCTTGTCATTGCCAAGAGACCAAAATAATCTTTCTTTAATAATCGTTGAGCTTTCATAAAAGAGATGACTTTACCAATCTTTGGAACTTGACCCCCTTTTAGAATAAAATAGGGTTAATTCGATATCTCGAATTTAATTATCTTTCCTAACAATTGAGGATAGCTTGGCAGGAAGATAATAAGTATGTACCCGTCAATATGTTAAATAGACCACATTAAGTAATATCAAGTCAACTAGAATATCTCTATTCTCAACTTGAAGATAAGCTTGTTGAACATATTTAATTAACTCAGATTCTCCCACATAAGCAGCAACCCAAAAAGATCATGTCAATATCTCACATACCAAAGTTTTTCGACGACCATTTAAATGTGTGTCGGAAAATTGCCAAGTCTTGTTCTTCACCCATCAAACTTTTGTTGTATGCCTATCCTGTCCATGTTTTTAATCTTTCTAACACACTTAACTACAACAAAATAGGTCATATTATCCATATATGGGGTAATAACCATGTCTAGAAGGTTAAGCATCAGTTGTGCAGTTGTACATTATCATACCATGTATTGGTCATATTGTCCAATGTGCAAGTTGCTAGCTCCACAGACTTCTCGTTTTAATATCTTAGAGCTCATAATGCTTCAAGTATTTCCACATTGACAAGAACTTCTGAGGATCCTCACCATTAACAAAAATGGTAAACTTTGTGGTTTCAATTTTAGAAACTACATTAGAGAAACTATCTCAGTGCCAGACTTAATCTAAATATTTGAGGATTCTGGAGTCCTTTGTTGTTTCTCGTTCTTCTCTTGTCTATCAATTAAGAACCTTTGTGATGTCACTCTACTATTAGTATAATAGTGAACTCATACTAACTTCAGGAATGGACTATATTACCTATCTTAGAGGTAAAACTCTCATTATGGAACAACGTCACTTTTATTGGCCTAGTCTACTACTTCTGTTGCTTTTCTTTACCGGGAGACGATTGCCTGCCTAGTGGCAGTATTTAATGTCTTTGAACCTCTAGTCAAATTCTATTATCAGGTGATCGATCCAATTCATACAAGAAAATGATAACAATGACAGATTCAGTTATTTGATCCTAATCGCCATATACGTACAGAGGAATAAGAAAGAAAGACAAGACACATCCTATCACGCCTTCGCAGAATCACGATTATGGGAATGACGGCTACATAACCATAATTGAGATTCTACTATCGACATGTGCTCCATTAGTCACAAGAATAACCTAGGTTCTGATACCAACTTTGTCACGACTCAATTTAGGATCATGACCAGCACCTAGGAGTAAGTGCCCCAAGTAAGCCTGATCGGTATTTTACAGAAAATCGGACAGAGTTTCCCCTATTTTAGGACTATCCAAAAATAATTTCCTGTTTTAAAATCAACAACCAACCATCCTAATATCAAACCAACCAACCAACAACTTATCAATTAACCAAAAAAAGTCTCCACCATTAATAATCAACCCACTAACAACCAGACTCCTTATTTATCCCTAAATTTGATAAGAAAGTGCAATACTCATCATAAGTCTATAGAAACGAAGAAAACTCTCGACACTAAAAGAATGACTATGGAGCGATTCTAAGAGTTTCAAGAAAAGACCATAAAAATAAATAAAATCTTCGCCCACGTGAACAAATGCGAGGCCTACCAATGACTATCAACCTGTGCGCTCTAATTAACAAAATTCTCGCCTACATCAATTGTTATCTCTGTAAAAAAAATAGCGAGGAGTGAATCGCTAGCTCAGTGAGTAATAACACTTAACCACAACCGTTTTTAATGGGGACAAGTCAGAAAACATGCTAGTATATAAATTAAAAAGTATCATAAGAATGCCCTTTCTAAAACAATAAATATAATTAGTCTATTCATGTGTTTCTTGTAACATAAATCAATTTAACAAATCGGTAATAAACTCAGTAAACACTGTCTCGTAGCAAATATTTATGTTTAGGAGGTTTCCAAGAAAGGATCATGTAATCTGTATCATTGTGTGGACCATTTCGTAAAATGAGTCAAATATAACTGTAGGTCCCTACTCGAGGGAAAAACTGTAACTGTGCTAGTTCTACCTTCCCACTAGCGAGGGCTATAACTGTACTCGG